GAGAATGCAGTTCCGCCAATCGTAAAAACGTATCCAGTTTGAGATCTTGCTTTATGGGGATCTGAGAGATATCCTGCATCTGCAAAACCGATTATTTCATGTTTTCTATCGTTAGAATAAAACAGTCCCAAATCGATTGTCCCTTGGAGATAACGGAATATATGCTTAATTCCATTCCACTGTCTCCTCGTAGGTGCCGAGTTGTATCTTGCTAATAAATTGGTAGCGGAAGATATATCTGGTCTGGTACAATTAGCAAGATACATAAGAGCTCCTATGGCACTCATATATGGTATTTCAAGACCAAGTATTTCTTCATCTTCTTCACAAGGTCGAAACGAATCCTTTTCAATATCTAATGTTCGATTGACCATTGGAGTACTAAGTGGATTCGCCTTGTCCATATTGAATCGTTTCAGTATTCTTTGAGTGTAATTAGATTGATGGACAAATATCCCATTTTGGACCCGTTCTATTTGCAAGCCGAGACAATATTTGGTCTGTCCGAGATCTTTCATTTCAAATTCGTCTTTTAGTAAAGTGACTGCTTCTTGAATTTCATTTGTAGTCCCAATAATATTAAGATCATCGACATAGACAGCAATTTATCACAACTCCATCTTGTGATCTTTTTATAAAAACACACGGGCATATTTGATTATTTATGTTCCCCGTTTAAGCAATTGTTCACTCAAACAATTGTACCACATACGCCCGGATTGTTTCAAGCCATACAATGATCTTTGCAGCTTTATCGCACATAACTCTTTAGGTTTGGACTTTAGTGCTTCGGGCATTCTAATTCCTTCTGGAATTTTTATATAAATGTCAGCGTCTAGTGATCCATATAAGTAAGCAGTCACAACATCCATAAGACGCATCTCAAGATTTTCATGGATGGCCAAACTAATCAAGTATCTGAAAGTGATCGCATCCATAACAGGGGAATATGTTTCATCATAATCGATCCTAGGCCTCTGGGAAAATCCCTGTGCTACAAGGCGAGCTTTATATCTTGTGATCTCATTTTTCTCATTTCGTTTTCTGACAAAAACCCATCTGTACCCAATAGGTTTTATGTCTTTAGGTATAATGGTAATAGGTTCAAACACCTTTCGTTTATTAAGCGAATTTAACTAGGCTTGAATAGCACCTTTCCACTTGTCCCAATCATGTCTTTTATGACATTCAATCATAGATTTTGGTTCAGGATCCTCAACTTCTTTGTCAATTTCTTGTGATACCATATATGCGAACGCATCATCAATGATTCCATCACGCTTCCAAAGTTTCCCATTATTTACATAATTGATGGAGATTTCAATATTTTCATTTCGTTCCGAAATTTTTCCATCATCTTGATTCTTTTTCAAATTCGAATCTTGAATTTCTCTTTTCTTTCGAAAATTCTTATCTTTAGACCCCACTGGCCTTCCTCGTTTCAAGCGTGCCTTTAACTCATTTGGCATATCGTCATTTGCCATTTCTTTTGGAATCTCAATTCGAGCAGGGGCAT